ATATCACATAGTTGTGAAGGGCCGCGGAATCTAAACGGCCCGTATTCTGAGAATCACCCTTAATTAGCACGTATACCATTTATAGTCTTCCGAGAAACTTGCTTGCTCGCTACGCACCGAGATAACACATGTGCAAAGCGATGACATTCAGTTCGTGACAAGTGCACTTGTTTTGGCCACCTGGTTCGTGTCGTATGACTCGGCATTGTCTGCGCTACCACCACCCACACAAACCGAGGACGCAAGTAGGGAGGATTGTGTTACCAAAATGTTGGAGAACTGGTCAAAATGTATCTTCCGTGTTGGCCTTTTTCCAAAATGTCCATATTCTGGATAAAAACATCTCCAGCAGAACTGGTCAGAGGGAAAATCCGCGATCAGCCTTTTGTTTTTGTTCTGTAAACAATCCACTACGACACCCTTAGTCAGCAACTTACTGTAGTGCTACACACTTCCTGTTTTACCTTGCGAAAAATTGTTCTCCGTGTGTAAATTTAGTTAAATTTACAAATACCAGGGCTTAAAATGTCGCCCTCTAGGATCACAATCCTGGAAATCTTTCGACCAACCGCTAAACTTTGTATCTGGGAGTTTCCTTTAGCAAGTAACACGCTTTTGCCAAAATGTTGAAATAGTGGGTCGTCCTTCGACTAGATAAGGGCCTTATCTCATTTAAGGACGGCCCCCACACCTAAAATTTCGTCACATTCGTTCTCAGCTCTATCAAAAACCCCTTCAACCGTATTTAAGCCCACCAAGTGTGAGGGTACGATTTGACAAGCTACAAAGAAACATTACGGGAAATGTTTCTCCGATTTGGTACATGTACAGCGTAATTTTGATGTTTCCTTTGACGTTGTAATTTCTTTGCCATGGTCCTCTTTATAAATTTATATATTGGTGTGAAGTACATATACATTGTAAATCACAGTGTGATACTGACTGCACATTTTCTGTGATACAGATATATTGCACGATGTTGTGATGACCATGATCATCGCAGAAAAAATACAAGATTAAATTCATTGCTTACATTTAAGATAACAATCACTTATTTGAGCGATACTTCGAGGTATCCTAGTTTTGTGCAATGTGCTGTGCATCAAACTGTTTTGCAATAAATCCAGAATTACCGCATTATTTTGCGATAGGCATTACACAATATTTGTGATAAAAATTTATCACTCCCCCGGGAGTGATAAATCAAGGGAATCACTCCGGGCATTTTATCACACGAAAATGTGTGAAAAGTATCACACTTTGAATTACAGTGTACTAAAACCTTTTCTTTCGTCTGTTACAGCGGGCCCGCGCATGCTTCCTTTCCCAGAGACAATTTTTTGTGGAAAACACGCGGAATTGACGTGTGTCGACACGTTCCGATCGGAACGTGGAAAACACGAGATAAATTCACGTGATATCCACGTGAATTTGACTATCTCATCCACGATTTATCGACGTGTTGATCACGTCGATTCAACGTGACGTCGACGCAAATGTCTCCACGCACAAACGTGCACTGCAAAAAATTAGAGTCTGATACGGAACGATCTACAGCGTTACTGTAGATGCCGCTCTTAAGTCACTGCACCTAGGGTACAGAGCGCGGAGTACAGTGTTGCTGTAGCACCGGAAAGCCCACGTTTTACACGAAACAGTGTACGAATACGGCTCCACTGTAGACAGTTTTGTCCGGTGTTGCCTGTACAGTGGTCCTGTACATTGCTCCCTGTACCAGGTTTTAACCAATACAACTACAGCGATGCTGTTATCCGAATAACAGACGTTCCTGGAAAATAATTAGCGGTCGAATGATGTAATTTTTCCTGTCATAATCTTTTGCAGTGCACTGCAAAAAAATTAGAGTCTGATACGGAACGGTCTACAGCATTACTGTAGATGCCGCTCTTAGTCACTGCACCTAGGGTACAGAGCGCGGAGTACGGTGTTGCTGTAGCACCGGAAAGCCCACGTTTTACACGGTACAGTGTACGAGTACGGCTCCACTGTAGACAGTTTAGTCCGGTGTTGCCTGTACAGTGGTCCTGTACATTGCTCCCTGTACTAGATTTTAACCATTAAAACTACAGCGATGCTGTTATTCGAGTAACAGACGTTCCTGGAATAATTAGCGGCAATGCTATAATTTTTCCCGTCATAATTTTTTGCAGTGAACCTACTAGGGCTGCCTGGAACTGCCGGAACACCCTCATTGACCATTAACATTTTTGGTAAGGAGCAGACAGCAGATTAGAGAGATAGTTGAATCGTTCTTCTTCCCTCACGCATTGTGTCATTTTTTTCAAGCGTCTGTTCTTTGTGTTCTTAGGTCCACTTGATGACAATGCAAGACAAGTAATTGATAGGGTGCTGCCTCTACCAGGTGGGGGAGGACCTGTTAGAAGTGAGTTGTCTATTTTATTACACTGCAGCCTGCTGTCCTTACTGATTGTCCTGACTTCTGCTGCCGCTTGACGACGTACTCATTAGGGTTCTTGAAACTTTAGTATCTTAGTTATCCTTAAAGCAATGCAGTTTTCATTTCAATCTTGTATTTAGTTCCTTTGATTTAAAGTTTGGGTTTGTTGACATTGTTGAAACATCTGTGGATTATTTAGGAATGATGTGAAAATTCTTCATTTTTATCTGAATAGAATGTTATGCAGTAGGCTGAGTGACGAGTTATGTCGAGGTTTCTGAGGTCTTCTTCGCGTTCCAAATAGCAGTTCAAGTTTATACCACAAAATAACCACCTTCAATTAGTTTGCATTCAGGCTATAAACTCGTGATACACTCTTCTAGCTTTAACCTTTTTTCCGTCTTAGAGCATTTTACAGGGAACCTCAAGTTTCTGGCAACCGCTCATTGAACCTGTTCTGTTACAGCTACTCGCGCAGTATGGGAGGCGTCGCCTTACACTCCATCAGCAAGGAGCGGACGGGGACGTCCTCGCACTGAGGAAGTTGTGGCGAATGAGTTGCGGGCCAAGGGGTTTGTGACTGAAATCCAAACCCAACCTGCACATCAAGGCCAGGCCCCCACGTCCACGTTAACTCCCCCAGCCTCACCCGACCAGGAGAATAGCAGAACCTGTCCGGCTTGCAGGGGGCTGCAGAAAGACTGCTCACTTATGGCCACCACCTCCTGTGTGCAGAATGCAAAAGGAGACTTCATGGTTGCCGTTCGCCGAGGTGCCGGCGCATAATTTTGGAAAATGGTTTCATTTTATTTAAATTCGATTAGTGCAGCTTTAGCCTACTGCGCCTTATGTTTTCTGATCGTTCGTGTGGACTTCGTTCCTTTTGTACAAATATACATTTGCTCAATATTTGTATGTTTTATCTCGGAAGCAAGTTTTCTTGCTGATGATTAAGTCTTGGTGAAGCCAGTGAAGCTGATGCGACGAGGTGACTTTTGCTTCACTGACATTATAGTCTAAATCCATCATATAAGCTGGTGTTCCTTTCTATCATTTTTGCTGTAATGTGTACTAACTAAGGGAAGTTTTCTAAAATGTTCTTCTTCGTAATTTCAATGTGAGTTTTGTTAGTTTTCTTAGCTAGCAATTATTTGTAGTCTTTACTACTTCTGTTGAATGTTTTTCACTTCTTTGCCTTTGAAGCTGAAGCCGTCTTATTATTTGCTTTGTGGTAATCTGGTTGGTTGAATGAGAACAAAAGCTACCTTGAAGCTGATTTCAGCCAACAAGATTACCCCAAAGCAAATGATAAGCTGGCTTTAGCTTTGCTGGCTGGTTGAGTAAAGATTACATAATGTAGTTTGTTAAAATTTTGCTACTTTTAAGAAGAGTATGTATAGCCTATCCCTTGGTTGTTCTTTCTTAACCAACTTGGTGGCCTTGTAACTGTTTAAGTTATAAGTTTGCTTGCTGATGATTTAGTCTTGGTGAAGCTAGTGAAGCTGATGCGATGAGGTGAGTTCAGCTTCACTGGCCTGAAAGTCTTAATCCATCATGAGCTGGTATTCCTTTTTATCATTTTTGCTGTAATGTGTACTGTTTGTGAAATGTTCTTGTTCTTAATTTCAATTTGAGCTTTGTTAGTTTTCTTATCTAGCAATTATTTGTAGTCTTTGCTACTTCTGCTTTCTATTATGTACAGTACCTGACTGTATTTTGTGAATTTGCCAAAAATACTTCTGACTCTAATTGTTTGGATTCCTTCCTCTGCGCTCTCTTAACAGCCCTACCAACATTAGAAGGAATGTGTTTTGATTTAACTTGGACTCCTGGAAAGAAGCTAGGGTTCTCAGGGTTTTTTTAATGCAGTGCAAACAGATGGGCAAAGCAATGTAAGAGTTTGTGTCTTTGTTTAGCAGTTTTAACAGGAGAATCAAATAGTAAAAACAAAGAACTTGGTCCACTTGGAAAGTTCTATGGTATAATCTTTCTCGAAAGACAAGATGTTTTGTTCTCTTGCTAACTAAATTGTCTGTAAAGGCACAGTGAAAGAGCTATTAACATCTAATTTTTTTTGTAATCAATTGATTGGAGACTCTATGCTAATAGTCTTCTAGCTGTGTAATATTTCTGTGCCTGGTGCAAAATTTTGACTTTTTCTGTTTCAAAATATTTCTGAGAGAAGGTCATCAGCTTCGGAGTCCTTGACGTGAAAGATGGAAAAGTTGTGACCTCGACACCTGAATGGGTCGCAGAATTATCTAGCTTGGTCTACCTATATGAATGCTATTTTCATTGAGGAGAAGTTATGGAAAACAGTGCGAGGACTTGAGAATGATCCTGAGAAGAATGATAGAGCTTTCTTTAAAATATACCTCAATATTAAGGAACATGTATTCAATGTCCTTGTTGGGTGTGATTCTGCCAAGCAGATTTGGGATAAACTTGAGAAGCACTACAATGAATCAGGTTTGGTGATGAGGTGCTCGCTTCTACGTTAATGATTCACTGCAACCCTTGAACATTTTGGGTCAATGGAAGAGTACATTCATTATGCAATGAATTTACAACAGAAACTGTGTGCAATGAAGGAGGGCCTTGATGATAAGTTTCTAGCAGTTGTGCTGCTGTCAGGATTAACGGAGGATTACAAGCCTTCAGTTATGGCTTTGGACAACTCCGTTCCTGCTACAGATCTGACATCCGACGGCCCTGTCTTCTTTCTCCGCGTCACCTTCCTCAAACGAGTCGTAAATAATGAACGGCTCTCCGGCAAGCTTCAACTGGGTATCTAGTAGAATTGAATAAAAGATACACTCGATGCCTCTTAAACACAAAGTTCGATCTGGAGCGGCACGGTTACGCAAAGTTCGATCTACATTCCGGCGGTTTCTGCAGAGCAGACTCAATGTATTCATATGCTCGTCAATATTGCAGATAGAAAAAAGGTAAAAACTGCTCCAAGTCTGTAAAAGATCGTAGAACAACATACTCTAGAGAAAAAATGGATGCTACTGCAACAAGACTGTAGTACAGATCTAAACTTGCGTATCCCGCGAGCGGCGAAAAGCAGATCGAACTATGTGTAAGCGTGTCGCTGCACATCGGACTTTGTGTAACCGTGCCGCTGCAGATCGAACTTTGTCTTTAGGAGGCATCGCACTGTTCTAGCAATATTCGTTCATTTGGTGTCTGCGTCTACCCACTGGTCTGCCAAGGGAAATAACCCCCACTGCTATCAGGTAAAGTAATTCGACATTTTAAATAAACACATTTTAAATAATGCATAATTTTACTGCCTGTTTGTTTCGACAAAAGATTTATATCTCCCTTTCTTCACAGGAAAATCGGGGACAAGGCCACTTCGCAGTTAGCGTTTGGGCTGATAGTCGATGACTTTATCATCGGCCCCTTTTTCTGGCCAAATGTTGTGAACGCGGAGGGTTATGCGGACTTCCACAACCACGAGTTGGACGGACTTCTTGAGAACCTCCCTCTCGAGGTCAGGAGGGACATGTGGTTCCAACAGGACGGTCACCCTGCCCATACCTCCTTGGCAGCATGAGTCCTAAACCGTGATTTCTCAAACAGGTATTTATGTTCTCTATTTTATTTAATTTTGACTCAGCACGGCGCCTTTTTTGTTATCTGCTTGAAACAGTTTTTTTTTTTTTTCATATTTCAGGTGGATCGGGTTACATGCCCCTCCAGAGGGGGAGGGCACTGATTGAGCTCCACAGGTCCCCCGGCCTCACGTCACGTCCTTAGACTTTTTTTACTTTTTATCAAAAAACATGTCAGAGGCATAGTTTGGGAGGTAGATAGTGGT